CCCCCCGCCCCCGCCCCCGCCCCGGGGAGACTGTGCTGGAGTCCCAGGGCAGCAAGGCCTGGGGTGAGAGTGGTCGTGCTGCCCCTCTGTGCGGGGTAAGCTTGGCCCCTGGCACTGCCTCCTGCAGACCCCTGGGGGGGAGGGGGGAAAGGACCCCTGGGTCAGCCCAGGCCCCGGCGTGGGCACAGCTCACCAGCCCTTTCCCAGGGGCTGTTTCCAGAGTCAGGGCAGCACCTGCAACACCCCCACCCTTGGGGAAGTGACTGGAGACCAAGGGCAGCTGCCTGCCAGCAGGGAAGCCAGAGAATTTTGTGGCTAGTTTGGTAAAATGCTTGCCTTTTCTGGGGGGACCTAATGGGACTGTTTTCAGTTTAAGAAAACTGTTCCTGGAAGGTGGGGGAGGGGCAGGCCAGAGCCAGCCCAAGTTTGGGGTGAGGCCGCTGAATGACGTGACTTGGGGCAGCCAGGCTGGGCGGGGTGCCCAGGCAGGCATGGGTGCCAGGCAGATGCCAGGGGACTGCGGTGCAGCTGCAGGAGGCGTGAGACATGGGGCCCTGTGGCTGTCCTGCCCCGCCAGCGGCACCCTCAGCCCCATCCCTCACCTCCAGGTGTGCTGCTGTCTGCCCCCAGCCCAGTGTGCGGGGCCCAGCCCCCAGCTCCCTGACAGAGCCCCCCATCAGGAAGGGAGTGGGCGCAGGCCGTCTGGGGCCTGCGGTGCGGAAGCTGAGCCCTGTCTTGGGGGATCCCCACACTGTTCCCCTGTCCCCCACGAGTCCAGGTGGTGCCTTCCTGGGCAGAGCCGGTGGGAGCCAGGAGGAGGGGTCCTGACCTGAGCCCCGGGGTCAGCGGAACCTGCCTTATCACTCCCTCCACCTCACACTGTCTTTGGGGTGCTTGAGGGGCAGGGCAGCTGTGACTCCCGGGCAGGTGCCCTGGCCACTGGTCCCAGCCTTGGCTGCAGGCAGAGAGAAGGAGGTGACCACCTGGGGTGGGCTTAGGGACACCAAGGCCAAGGGCAGCCCTAGCCAGTGGCCAGCACTGCAGGGCAGAGGACTAGGGCTGCCCTCAGGGGCCAGAGGCTCATCTGCGGGGCCTGGGATGTGAGTGGGGCTGCCCGTGACCGTGGCACCTCCTGGTGACCTGTGGGGACACGTGGCAGCCTGCCCCACCCCTGCTGGACCCCCTTGGAGAATGGCCCCTCCCTGGGGGCTCGGTGCCCCCTCGCATCCTGACGTCCAGAGCAGGCCGTAGCTGAACAGTTCTTATGACAGAAGTGTGTTTGGTAATAATCAGTGACAGTCAGTGATAACTGTTTTCTTGATTCGTTCTTTGGATCTAAAACTATTCTCATTAATTAATTTAATTCATTTAAAAAGAAGACTTTACTTTCAGACTCAAAGGTACTAAAGTATTTCGTATATGAACCAAGGTTTGCACCTTCCAAAGACATCACACCCCGAGGTTCACCCTGTGTCATTGCTTTGAGCCGTGAGTGCAGGGGAGGCTCTGGGGCAGGTGGGAGCCTCTGAGTGGCAGCCAGAACTTTCCTCCTGCAGAAGGTGGCATGTGTCGGGATTCGAGGACTCATACTCCGTGTAGATGCAGCATCTGTCGCCGCCTCCACACACGGGACAGAGACCCACCTGTGAGCAGCGATTGTCTGGAACTGGGAGGGTGACGGACTGCGTTTGGGGGAAAAGGGTGTTTATTTTATCGCTGACATTTGGCATTGGTGTGTGGTGGCAAAAAGTAGACCCGTGTCTTTCTTTTGAAAAAGTTGAGATGAAATTCACGTAACATAAAAGGGACCATTTTAAAATGTACAGTTCTGCAGCGTTCAGCGTGTTCAGTGTGGTGCAGTCACCACCTCTGCTTCCAGAACAGTCTCATCCCGCAAAGGAACCCGGTGCCCGTAAGGAGTGGTTCCTGATGCCCCTTCCCCAGCCCTGGCAACCACTAATCTGCTTTCTGTTTTTGTGGGTTTATGTATTATTGTAGATATTTCATAGAAATGGAATCACGCATATGTGGCCTTTTGTGTCTGCCTGCTTTCACGTAGCAGAAAATCCTCAAGGTTCATCCAGGTTGTAGCTGTGTCAACCTGTGTCCCTCTTTAAGGCTGAATAATATCCCTTTGTGTGGATGGACCACATTTTTTTTTTTTTGGCCATGCCACGCAGCTTGCGGGATCTTAGTTCCCTCACCAGGGATTGAACTCGGGCCCCGGCAGTGGAAGCACTGAATCCTAACCACCGGACCAAATGGTTTTATCCATTCATCTGTCGATGGGCACTTGGGTTGTTTCCACCTTTGGTTGCTGTGGGTGTGTTTTGAGTCCCTGCTTTTGGTTCTTTTGGGGACGCACCTAGGAATGGTAACCCTTATGTTTAATTTTTTGAAGAACGGCCAGACTGCTTTCTGATAGACCCAATTTTTGTCAGTTTGTTTTTGCCATTAATGTCTCCATAGACAGGGCCCCCCCGTTGCCTACCCCCCACCCATTGGGTGGCCCCCACTGCCCAACCTACCACCGTCCTCTCTTCCTTTGCAGAATGTATTGGCTCAGAGGGAGGGTGTGACTCGCCTACATCTGTGTGATGCTCACAGGTGGTTCTGGTCCTGGTGGGGGCTCCCTGGGCTGCTGCCTGCCTGTTGTACTGGGCTCCATGGTGGCCACGGCTCCCCTCGGCCACTGTCACTTGGGAAGGCAGCTGTGGGATCCCTGAGCGCCCAGCCTTGGGCTCTTAGCGGTTCTGTTCTGTGTCTCAGTTTTTACAGATTTGGACAAGTCGAGAGTTTGAAGTCTGTTGCCAGCCGGGACCCAGAACAACACGATGGACAGAGTTTACCACTGGTTCCCGTGGTAGCCCTGGGCTTCGTCCAGTGCATGGGCACCTCCCAGTAGACAGGGCAGTCCTCAGAGGGGCTGGGGAGGGGGCACGGCTGGGAAGCCAGGCTGCAGGGGAGGGAGAGAGGCCACACTGTCGAGGGCTGTGTTCTGGCTGGGGTGGGGCCCAGTGGTGCATCGACGTGTCCGTGGGAGTGAAATGCAATAAAACAAAGTGAGGAAAAAACCCCAGACCTTGTGCAGCACAAGCCCGTGTAATTTACCATTTACTAGGTTCACCAGACGTAAGATTATTCGGTCCAGTTGCTGCGATGTGGCGGGAACGAGAGTGTGCCCTGGTCCACTGGCCGCTCGGAGGGGCCCGGGCGCAGATGGGTTGCTGAGCGCTGCCGCCAAGGCTGCCTCTTTGAACCGTTTCCAGTTGCACTGCTTTGGGGGTGAACTCACACCTCAGGGTCTTGACGGGTCAAGTTAGGCAATCCCCAGTGACCCCTGCATCTCCCCACAGCCCTCTGAGGTGGATACCTGTGGCTCTTCCCAGGGTATCCTTGGGTTTCTCTGTACTTGCAAATACCGCAGTAAATGCCTGTCTTGTCCATTAGCTGCAGCAGTATCTCTTCTCTTTACCCTGCAAGACGAGTATATACTGCTGTCCTCACCCCTCTTTCCCCCCCCTCCTCCTTTCTGGCAGCTACTTTTACCTTTTTTTTTTTAAGAACAGTATCTCTGTCCTTCAGCCCCACCCATGCCTTGTGGGATTGACTGTTGGTTGACTCTCAAAAGTGAAAAATCATAAAGAGGGTTTTTCCTAGATGTCACTCGGGAATTGTTGGTCAATGCTGGGCTAGGTAGTGTGCCGGGATCACCTGTCCTGGTCATGTGACCCGCTTGAAGGAAGCTGTGCCTGTGCACCAGCCTGGTCTTTAAGGAGTTGGGAAAATCAGGGGTTTGGAGTCCATCCGCGGAATCTCTTTTCTGAGACCCCATGAATGTTTATGTTCTTGACACATTCCATTTGCATCACCATGACTTTCTTGAAGAGTCCTTTGATTTTCCTGGAGTTCCCAGTTGCCTTTCTTTTTCATTGCACTATTTATTTTTATTTTTTTTATTTTTTGCGGTACTCGGACCTCTCACTGTTGTGGCCTCTCCCGTTGCGGAGCACAGGCTCCGGACGCACAGGCTCAGCGGCCATGGCTCACGGGCCCAGCCGCTCCGCGGCATGTGGGATCCTCCCGGACCGGGGCACGAACCCCTGCCCCCTGCATCGGCAGGCAGACTGTCAACCACTGTGCCACCAGGGAAGCCCCTTCATTGCACTATTATTATAAAACTCATTACATGTATTTATGGGCAGGCCATCCGATCTGTCAAGTTCCCCTTTTCTCGTGGTAACGTCTTTCCCGGAGCCTTCTGTCCTGCTCTAGTCTGCCATGTTTCTCCCAGAGGCCTCCTTTGGGGAGTTCCCAGGACTCCTCTCTGGATGGGATCTTAACTTCCTTCTGGTCTACCACCTCCTTTTGTCAGGTGACTTCCCAGGAAAAGTGACACGGGAGGCACCTTCTCTGCGGACTCATGCTCCTCCCATTAGCTCCCGACCCCAAGTGCTGATGGGAGATTAGATGCCAGTCTGACTTACCTGCCTTTTTCTTTACCCCCATTTACATCAGAGCTCCTCGAAAGCGTTATTCCCGTTGAACCCACATCCTTTCCCTCTACCTCTTGACCCGGCCACCCTGCTGCATATGCATGACGCTTACAGTGCCAAATCAGTGGTCACTTGGTAGTCCCTGCCCCGTCAGCAGCATCAGACGCAGTTGGACCTCCTCCTTCACTTGACTTATGAAGCCCCATGTTTGCCCTTTTCCTCCCCCTCCTCCCCATTCCGCTTCTCTGGAACGGCCTCATCTTGCCAGCCTGCGAGTTGGAGTGCCCCCGGTCAGCTTGGCCTTCCTCTGCTGATGGTCACCCCAGGTGACCTTGTCCATTCCTGCATGCTTAGGGTTTGCATGGCCCATTTTTATCATCCTCTTTCAACCTGTGTGTGTCCTTAACAGTTGAAGTGTCACTGGTAAACCACACGTACTTGGGTTTGAGTTTCCTTTTGCCCCTGTCTGAGTCTCTTTTAGTTGGAGTGTTTAGATCAATTACGTTTTGTGTAACTACTGACACGCTTTGGTTTAAGCCTGCTATCTTTCTATTTGTTTTCTATTTGCCTCATCTGTTCTTTTACATTTTCCTTCCTTTCCTGGCTTTTTTTGTGTCAACCAGGTATTTTTTTAGTCATTCCACTTTCTTTCCTCTTTTAGTGTTTTCGCTGCACCTCTTTTATTATTTCTTTAGCGGTTACTCTAGAGTAGTTGTTCTCAAAGTCTTAGACCAGGGACCCCTTGGGGAGATCCTTGTGGGGGGTGGTCCATGAGGCCCAAACTGTTTTCATACATTATAGGGTATCATTATGCGATAGTATTTGCCTCAACACAGGGAAATTTCCGGAGGTTCCCCATGTGTCTTCTTTGAAGGCAGATGTTAAAGAGATCTGCAGAGATGTAAAACAGTGCCACTCTTCTCACTAGCTCTTTATAGCTTTGAAGAAAATGGTTATTTTTGATAAAAATTATTTATGTTTGTGTATACTGGGTTTATTATATATACTTTTTAAAAATATTTATGTTTGTTTATGTATTTGCACTGGGTCTTAGTTGTGACAGGCGGGCTCCTTAGTTGTGGCATGAGAACTCTCAGTTGCAGCATGCGTGTGAGATCTAGTTCCCTGTGCAGGGATCGAACCCAGGCCCCCTGCACTGGGAGCATGGAGTCGTAACCACTGCACCACCAGGGAAATCCTGGGTTTATTATATTTAACGAGTTAATAAAATTTGTAAAATTTCTCAGTTTTAATTTCTAATCCAATAAATATCGGTAGATATAACCACATACATAAAAGCTCTTTGGTGTCCTTGGTAACTTTTATGAGTATAAGGGGATGATGAGGCCACAGAGGCTGAGACCTTCTGACTTAGGGACTGCAGCATGCCTGCCTGTCACAGTCCCACAGTCCTCATGGAGTTGGCGCTGCCCCACGTTGCAGAGGGGACGCAGCCCCTCTTTTCTGGGCCCCTGTTGTGTCTGGCTTCTGCCTGGTGCTAACCCCACAGTACTTTGCTGCTGCATCTGCAGAGTCGATTCTTTAAAGAGATGCTCTTTCCAGGGAGGGTGTTCAGTTTCCTCAGGTGTCCCCTTCTTGGTGCACCCCTTCCTGCCTGTGGATTGGGGCCCCCTCAACCTGAGAAGTTTCCTTTAGTGCTGTTAACAGTGCTCACAACACATCCTCTCAGCTTTTGCCTAACTACAAGTGTCTTTATTTTGCCTTATTTTTCAAGGATATTTTAGCTGGTTATAGAACTTTAGATTTTCTTTCAGCACCAAGGATGTGTTAAGCCGTTGCCTCCTGGTCGCACTGTTTCTGGTGAGAAGTCAGGCACCACTGGTGCTCCCCGTGATGTGATGTGCGTTTTTTGTCTTGGCTGCTTTTAAGATTCTCTCTTCCTCTCAGTTTTATCAGTTTAGCAGTGATATGCCTTGGTGTGGTTTTCTGTGTTTCTGTCATACTTTTGGTTCAGTGGGCCTCACGGACCTGTGGGCTGAAATATCTCATAATTTGGGGAAATGCGTGGCTGTTATCTCTTAAAATATGTCCTCCACCCTGTCCCCCGACACCCCCTCTTCTCTTTTCCTGGGACTCCAGTTACAAGTATGTTGGACTGTTGGGTGCTGTTTGGTTTGTCTGTTTGTTCTTTTGCTCCATATACTGCAGCTTGGATGGTTTATATTGACCTGTCTTAGATTTCACTAGTCCTTTCTTCTGTTGTGTCCAGTCTGCTGTTAAGTCCATTCAATGAATTCTTTTTGTGCATCTTTTCGTCTAATTTAAAAATATATATATATATGTAGATAGATGATAGATAGATAGATAGATAGATGATAGATAGATAGATATAGATATATAAATATTGCAAAATCCTTTTCAGAAAATTCTGCTGTTGGGTCAGCTGCGGCCTGCTTCTGCTTGCTATTTTTTCTCTTGAGGGTAGGTCACTCTTCCTACTTCTTTGTGTATGTCGTCATCTTTATTGTGTGCCAGGCATTATTTATTGAAAAGATCAGTGCAGTGGGTAAGACTTCCCCAGAAAGGGCTTGCCTTTCCCTCTGTCAGGCATGTAGGGTGGTAGGACTTTCTCTGGGTCAGGACTAAGTGGATTCTTCAGCGAGTTTCTGTTCAGCTCTAGCCAGGTGTCTCAAGGGTGTAAGCTCCATGGTGTGGAACCTCTTTTTGTTGCTGTTGTTTTGAATGCCTGTCCCTGGAGAAGCCCAGTGAATACTTGTCAAGCGAATGAAAGAATGAAGCAGCCTCCTGGGATCTCACCTTTGAGAGGCCTTGCCTGGGTGTGGGTCAGCTTGTAGCCAGGGCATGGGCCGACCAAGGGCCTTTTGCTCTGGCACATCCATCTGCCCCAGGGCATTATTTCTGCTCACTCTTAGCTACTCCCTTTGGACAAACATTGGGCATCCTGGACTGATCATCTCTTATTGTTTCACCTTTTCTTTTTGCTTTTTGCTCCGCCTCATTGGGCATTTTCTCATGTTTTTAGCCCTTATCTCAGCAGTTCCTTTCTCTAGCCATTACTATTATATCTTAGAGCTCTTTCTTGTTTTCTCATCCTTTCTGTAGATTTCTTGTTTTATAGGTGTAGCAACTGATTAAATCCTGGCAAGTCAATGCAATAAACAGTAACACAATTTTAAAATGTCTGTTTCTACCAAGTCAGCGCTGTTTCTTTCTCAGACTTCCTCTAGTGGTGTGGTTGGCTGTTTACCTTCTGTGTGAGAAGCAGGAATATTTTCTTGCCTGGGTCTCTCCTCAGGGGGTCTCCTGCCTGGAGTTCAGAGCGTGGGGTGTCTGGTGGGGGCACACTGATGGCAGGGGCTGAGCACTCAGCGTGTGAGAACAGGGACGAGCAGGGCAGCCCCCTGGCCCCTGTGGTCCTGGGCTTTGTCCCTGGTTGTGTCTCAGTCTTGGCCTGGAGGGAGGGGATGCTGACCCGGGCTGTCCCCACATCTGTGCCCTTGATATGTGCCCATCTGTTTCTGCAGCCCCGTCCCAGGCCTGCCCTCTGCTCCTGGCTGATGCTGGCACCTGGAGTCTCTCTAGGGCACCCTGGAGGCCGGCAGGCCCGGCCCCCGCCCTGTCCCCCATCACCAGCCCCCTGTCTTCCTTCTTCAAGAGGTTTCTGGAATGTTTTGAGATCTCTCCTTTCCACCACCAGGCTCCCTCTTTTTTAATCCAGAGAGTGGGGTCAGTAGGTGGCAACTGCAAGGGACCTGGGTCTTCTCTGGCCAGCAGGGCAGCCTCTCCAGGTACTGGCCCCCAGCCCAGACTCCTCCTAGGGTCTCCCCGCAAGCATCCTGGCCCCTCCTCCCCAGAACTCCACCCAACTCTGCCATCTCCTCCAACACCTGGGCCAGCAGAGTCCTCTGGGCTCAGCCCTCCCTCCAGCTCCGTCTTCTGACTCCCCGTCTGTCTCCAGTGGAGATGATTCTGAGCACACGCCTCAGTGTGGCCTGCTTAGGAAGTGCCTCCGGGCACCTTCGGGCCACAGGGCATGTTCCTGTTCCTAGCTGCTTCCAGAGCCCCTTTACTGGGCCTCGAGGCCTCTATGTTTGGCATCCCCTTCATGACCAGCAGGTGCCCAGCATCTTGCCTCTTCTCAGCTTTGACCTTGGGAGCCTGGCCTGAGTGTCTCTTGGGGGAGGAGGGTCTGTGTCCCCAGGATCACTGCGGCACCCACCCCCAGCCCTCCACCTGTGTCCTGGCAAATGAAGTTCTTCATCCCAGGGCTTCAATTGGTGCTTCCTGTCAGCAGTTTCCCACCGGGCACAGAGCTGAGAGGGAGCTTGTTGTTGTTGTTTTTTGCGGGGAGCGGGGTGTGGGCAGGCATGGGTGATCATCTTTTTTCAGCGGTTCTGGGCCTGAAAGCATTCCAAGGCCCTGAGGACTGTGTTGGGCTGTGGGGCGAGGGTGGCGGGCCCCACTCTGGAGACCCCCTGGCTGTGCTGAGGGTTAGAACCCTCAGCCGTACGTTTTCGTGGGTTCAATCCCAGATGCCTCTGTGGGGGGGGGGAGGAAGTGTAGGATGCTTAGGACTGAGATATGTGTGTGTGAGAGAGGGGGATGGGGTGTTTTCTCATTTAATCTTTACTGGCATCAGGAGAGGGTGTTAGTACACCCCTGTGGCTGGATGGGCCACCCAAGTCCCCACCCCAGGCGGAGATGGGGAACCAGGCTTCAAAGCCTCAGCCCTGACCACGGCCATTGTGCCCACCGCTGGCCAAATATGGCTGGCTCAGCGGGGGAAGGGCCTTCAGGTCCAGAATATCACCCCGAGGCTTCGTCAGGGGCGCAGAATGGCCGTGGAGGTGGGAAGGGCTTTTGGGGATGGGTGGGGAGCGGCCCCCATGTCCCTTTCCTCCCGTGGGTCAAGGGCTGTCCTGGGGCTTCCGGCCTGTCCCACGGAGGGGGCAGCAGTCCCCTTGTGTTTGGGTGCTGTGGGCGGGGCAGGCAGGGAGCCCAGCGGAGGCGGCTGAGTGGCTTCAGTGCGTGTGAAATATGTCAGGACTTAATTAATTTAATTTGAGAGGTTCCTTTTCGGAGCGTGAACAGTTGTCTCCCAAGAGACGCCGCCACCGCCTCCCCCCCCCCTCCTGCCTGGCGCTGGTGGGCGAAGGAAACAGCGGAATCTATATTGAGAGTGCGCCCCCCCGTCCCCCCGGGAGCGCGGTGAGGGGTGTCGGGGTGTCACCGGGAGCCCGGAAGCGTGGGCGCACCGGGGGCGGATGCAGCGCAAAGCTGGGGCGCGCGATCCGGGCATCCCCGCCAACCGGAAGCGGGGAGGAGGAGGTTGGGGAGCTCCGACCCCAGGAGAGGCCGAGAGAACCGGGGCGCCTTATCAGCCCACCGAGAGCCAGGGCTGAGTGCGCGCGCGCGGGCGGGAAAGGAGGGAGGCGCGGGATGAGCCAGGCGGGACCACTAATGAGGGAATGCGCGCGCTTTGCTGTCGGGGGCGGCAACTTCAAAGAGGCCGCCCCCGCCCCCGCGCGGGTCTGAGTCCGGGGAGGCCCGCAGCGCGCAGGCAGCGCGTGTTTGAAGTGGACCCCCTGGGCGTGGGCGCCCCCTGGGCGGGGACCGGGGGCGGGGGGGCCGGGGCAGGTCGTGGTGCTGTGCTCCCTCCCCGCGCTGCGCCTGGAGGAGCGGACGTGAGGGAGGAAGAGGGGGCGGCTGTGGAGAGCGCCCCCAGACGTCCTCCAAGGCCCGCTGTCCCGTCCAGTAGGAGGGATTACTGGGGCCGCGGCTGGGGACGCAGGTCGAGCCCCGCCGCGCGCGGCCTCTCTGTGGCCATTCTTCGTTTATTCATCAGGCCCACTGAAGGCCGAGCCTGCAGTCCCCGAACTTCCCCAGCCCAGCCATGGAACCCCTGGTGGTCTGGTGGGAACAGGAGTCAGGCAGGATGGTGAGGGCGCTGGCAGCCGGGTGCCCGGGCCGCTGCGGGGTCTGCAGGTGTGTGTGGGGGGCTTCACCTCAGCACGATCACCCCACCTCCCACCGTCGCCAGCCCAGAGCAACGTGAACCCTCTCCCAGCACGGTCTCCCCCTCGGGCCTTGGAGGTGGCGAAGGTAGTCCCCCCAGCCCCTGCTGTGTGTGGGGGGGTGCTTTGGACCTCCCTGAGCACCGGCTTCAGAGACTTGGAGGGGGCGAGGGTCCCTCCCCGGGTGGAGCCGCCTGGGCCCTGCCCCCCACTCTCCCAGGGCTCCACCTGGGCCCTGGGCCACCAAGCTCCATCCTCTGCCAGGCCCAACTCCGGGCCCTGCCGTGGTGCACTCCCTCCGAGGGGTGGGAGCTCCTGTAGCACCTCCCCACCCCACGGTTGGAGGGGGGTGTTCTCCTGGACTCTGAGGGCCCTTCTGTGGGCCCGAGCCGTGGGTGACCCTGTGGGGGGCCTGGGTGGGGCTGCGTGTCCAGGCGCTGGAACCTGGGGGAACGGGAGGCATCTCCTGAGGTTGGGGCTGATGCGCAAGGGGCCGTGCAGAAGGGTGTGCGTGCCCCTGGTGTCCTGAGTTTACAGGCCACAACAGTGCCACGTCCCCAGGGTGTGGCGCAGGCAGGTCTCCTGCCCCGCGCAGGGAAGAGCCAGGGCTGTGGCTGGTGGAGGTGCCCCAGGATCGCCAACTGTCTTCCAATGGCACCCTGGCTCTGGCGTCCACCAGCTGCAGTGTGGTCCGGAGTAAGTCGCCTGCTGTCCCTGAGCAGGGATGGGGCCATCCCGCTGCTCAGCCGGCCTGGAGGGCCGCGCCGGCTCCTGTCCGTGGTGCTGAAAGGGGCTTCACGTGCCGCCACCCACCGCCTGCCCCTCCTGCAGCCGCGGGCAGCTGCAGGCATTCTTTCCAGCATCTGTTTTTCCCCCACCTCTTTGCCCAGCACACCTTCGACTACCCAAGCCTGTAATGAGGGGGCGATGGGGATGGAACTTGTGTCTACATCAGCTGGGGAAGCCCCGCCTCCGGGGCTGGCCGTGGGGCAGTTTCACCCTGATTCCCTGGGCAGTGGCAGTGAATGGACCTTGGGGTCCTGCAGGCCTCACCCGGCCTTGTGTCCCCTTTGGAGAAAGGGAGGAGCCATGGCAAGGATCAGGGTTCAAGTGGAACATAATTGGGAACCTTCGTCCTGACCAGACAGTGGCGTGGCTGGAGCAGGGGCCACATCCAGGCCTGACCACTGCCCAGAGCCCGCCCGCCCGAGGGTCTCAGCCAGCGCCAGGCTGACCAGGTCTGCAGCCCCCAGGGCCCATGCCCCAGATGTCGCCGGTGCAGGCAGGGCGAGGGGGGTGCCAGCCAGGCTTGCCGTGAGAGCTGCTCGGCACTCACAGAGGCAGCAGAACCCGACAGCCCACCCCCAGTCCCGTCCTTAACCTCTCCAGGGCCCCTGGGTACTCCAGCACTGTTGGCAGCTGCCCGTTGCGGCAGGCACAGAGGCCTTTGCCGCGTGTATGTGGGCCTGAGGAGGGTCTCCCGTTACACTGAGTGACGTGAAGGTACGTGCTTACATAGAGGCCTCCGGAGTGAACGGAAACCCTTCTGAAACGCACCAGGAGGTTTGGGGTGAGAGGAGACTCAGGTAAATACCGTGTGAGCTGAAGGGACCCTGCACAGTTCCCTGGGGCCCCACGCGACTGCCACAACCCTGGCCCCTAGAACAACAGAATCTTATCCTCAACTCCAGGAGCCGGAAGTCTGCGGTGGTTCTCCTGTGGCTCTGAGGGAGGATGGTTCCAGGCCCCTCCCCCGGCTTCCGGTGGTTTGCTGGCTCTTCTAGAAGCATCCCCACGGCTTCTTCCTCCATCTTCACGTGCGCCTGTGTCTAATCTCCCTCTGTCTTTCTCTTACAAGAACTTTGTCATTGGATTTAGGGCCCACCCGCCCTCCATGCAGGGTGATCTCCTCTTGAGATCTATAACGTAGGTACTTCCGTAAAAGCCCTTTTCCCAAACAGGCTCACACTCGTGGGTTCTGGGCATTAGGACGTGGACACATCTCCTTGGGGCCACCATTCAACCCCTGCACCCTGGGTTTGGGGCCCCAAGCGGATCCCAGTTTTGCACTGTCGCTCCCTGCCCGTGGGCTCAAGAGCTATTTGGCTGCGGCCGGGAGCCCTTGGCCGTCTCCTGGCTGTCGCCCAGCCGTCCCTGGTCCTGCAGGGTGAGGGAGGGGATGCTCTTCCTGGAGGCCTGGACCAGGGCGCCACCAGGACTCCTGCCCCCCGCCGGGGTCCCCCGCCCGTGCAGGCAGACAGTGGAGGGGGCTGTGCCCGGGGAGAGGCGGGGGCAGTGTAGGAGACAGAGGACGGGCCGAGGAGTCCCCTTTTCTCAGCGGCCACCCGGTGGCAGGAGTCTCCCCAAGGTTTAAAAGACAAGGATACAGCCCCCTCCACCGCCTCCCCAGGAGTGGGGAGGGCCGTGCGTCATCCTCAGCCCTCCACCAGCATCCGTGCGCCTTGCTGTCCGTAGGGCTCCCAGCCCGGCCGGGCCTGGGAGGGCTTAGTCCTGGGAGCCGGGCAGGCCCTCCCACAGCGATGGCGGGAGCCGACCAGCTGGCTGGGGGTCGAGACAGACCAGGGTTGAGGCTCTGGCCCTGGGATGCCCTCCGGGTAGGCTGCCTAGGAGGAGAGGCCGCCCCCTTCCGGTCCCAGGGCTGCACAGGCACCTCCTGCTGTCCTACGGGGCTCGGCTGGGCCGGCCAGGGGCCTGTTGGGGGATTATTCTTCCTGCTTCCTCAGGCGAGGAAACTCAGGCCTGGGGCGGTTCGGGTTCTTCTCTGAGAGCACTGGCTGGGACCACCAGGCTCGACCGCCGCTGAGGCCATGTGTCCTGTCTGTGAGGCTGTCCCCCACGTGTGTTCAGCTCACACTGGACACCGTCCCGGGCGTTCCTCTGAGGCCTGGTGGTTGTAGGGCTGAGTGTGTTTGATCTCTGTTGCTGTGTAGCAAGCTGCCCCCAAATCCTAGCGTCTTGAGACAGCACAAGTTCTCTCACCACCCCTGAGGGGCAGGCGTCCAGGGCAACCGAGCTGGGTGCATGGGGCTCAGGAGGGGGTCTCACGAGGTTCCAGGTGTGGGCTGGACTGGAGGCTCCCCCCGCCCCTGCTGTCACCTGGAGGCCACGTGGCTGTCTCTGAGGGGCACTGCCTAGAGACAAGGCAGCTGTCTCCACCCGAGCAAGACCCCAGGGACCTCAAAGGAAGCTGTGGTCTTGTTAGCATCTGACCTTGGAGACAGGAAGCCATCCGTTCTGCCACGTTCCATTGGCCACACAGACCAGCTCTGGTGCAGCGTGGGGGCGACCACACTGCCCGGGGGCCGGTTTCCAGGAGGCACGGGTCACCGGGGGTCCTCGTGGGGCTGCAGTCCACCGGGGCGGGCGGAGCAGCCAGTGCCTAGGTGGCACTGGGAGGCCACCGGGAGGTCAGGCGCCACTGCACTGATGCCAGGAGACGCGTCCCCTTCCAGGCTGGGGACTCAGCCCCATTCCTTCTCTTGCCCCGTCTCAATGAGGGCAGCCGAGCCCGTCTCGCCCCGACCGCTCTCTAAGGCTCCCCTGGTTCCAGCCGCGGGCAGCAGGGCTGGGCAGCAGGGCGGGCAGCAGGCCAGGCAGCTGGGTTGGGCAGCAGGCCGGGCAGCTGGGTTGGGCAGCAGGGCCGGGCAGCAGGGTGGGCAGCTGGGTTGGGCAGCAGGGGGCAGCAGGGTGACCAGCTTTGCTGACTTCCCAAGAGCCAGTGTGGAGCCGCCTCCCCCATCGTCCAACGAAAGCCTGGGCAGGAGGGTGACAGGGCTGCTCCATCCTGTCCACTCCAGGAAAACAGCATCCCACGACGCCCCCACAGTGGGCGGAAAGTGGGTCGCCGTTAGCTGTGCTTGTGGCCCTGGCGCCACGTTAGCTGGCCACGTGGTCCAGAGGCACAGTGGGGAGTGATGCGCGAGGAGGGCCGGTCACCGCCCCGGGCGTTAGCGGTGCTCGGTGGTGCTGTGAGCATTAGCGGCTGGATGCTGCTGTCTCCCGGGGTGCTCAGAGGGGCTCTGGGGGGTCCAGGCAGGCTGCCCTGCCCTCCTCCGGGCTCAGCAGAAGCCTGACGGGGGACTGGAGCTGCCAGGTGATCCGAGCTGGGCTGTGGCGCATCCTGCCCTCCACCCCGTCTGGTCACCCATGCCCGCGTCCCCAGCACGAGGAGGCCGGTGTGGGCACACGGACAGGGGCTTCGCAGGAGCGGTTGCGTCCCGTCCCTTCCTCTCAGGGTCTGTTTCCTGTCCCCTGAAGGCCTGGGCTCTTCGGAGGCTGCGGCCCGGCTCTGTCAGCACCACGGACAGCAGCTGGCGCTGCGCTGTGGCAGAGCGGGTTCTGGTTTCCAGGCCGCCTCCCGCTGGCTCACGCGGAGGTAACAGAGAAACGTGCTGACTCCGGACTGGCGCCCCTCCGCCTCCGCCAGAGCCTCGGGGCCCGCTTCCGGGGAGACAGGCTGACCCTCACCCTTTATCTGAACCTTCATCCTCTTCTGGGGGGCGCGAGGCAGAAGCCACAGGAGGGGGTCTCGGGGTTGGCCCCTGAGGCAGGGGACTCCCCCGTGGGGTGGGGCGGGCAGGAGGGACAGGGCAGGGTGCCAAGCAGGAGGGACCCCTGAACCCGTGAAGCTGCGGCTCGGTGCGTCTGGCAGTATGGAGATGGCGTGGCGGTGGGGAGAAGGGCCTTTTAGGCAAAAACTCCAGGGCCCTGCAGAGCTGACGCCACCGAGGGAGGGGCCCACGCAGGGGACAGCCCGGCCCAGGGGGTGGAGGGGCCTCCTCTCTTCCTTCAGCTGGGCTCCATGCCCCAGGGATGGGTGCTCACGGTGGCAGCATGATCTAGATTTGGTGATTTAAACGAGAAATGGCAAAACCAGTCTTTGCTCTCTTTGCTTTCCTGTCTGTGTGGGAGCCGCATGCACCCTGCATGTGTCACTTCGCAGAACTCTGCCAGCAGGGCCCAGGGCAGACCCGGCCGCCGTGCAGAGCCCGTGGGATTTGTGTCACCGAGGTCACACGGCCAGTCGGCGGTGTGGAGGCGCGGGAGGGGGTAACCACACACGGGACCCACGTACGTGGGTGTGCGCTAGCTTGCGCGCACCCCTCTCGTGCCCTGGTTCCTGTGTGCAGAGGACTCCCGGGCCGGCACGTGGTGGATGTGCAGAGGACACCGCCGGCCAGCACTGGCTGGCAGCGTGGAGCTCAAGCCAGGGTAGGCTCGAGGTCACACTCCTGTGTTGTCACGCGGTGTGTGAGACAGGTCAGCCGCGGGGGAGGTGGTCACGAAGCTCTCCTGCCACAGGCAACGGCTGAGCGTGGCCCCCAGGCCCGAGAATCTCCCCTCCGGCCTGTTAAAGAGGGTGCTGGGAAGGCCCTGGGTGACGGGAACCCACAGGCCATCTTCAGGGGCCATAAGTGTAGGAAAGTCACCCCAATCCTGGGAGGGAGGCTTCCGCCCATGAGACGCCGCCCCTCCGGAAGGGTGGTCACAGTGCCGTGTGGTGGGGGGCTGACAGACTGAGCCACGGTGCCCCCATCGCCATCGGGGGTTCAGATGAGGTGGGCAGCACGTGGGCTGGCTGGGTGGGGGGATGGTAATCAGAGATGGAACCTGACAGAGGAATGTCACTGACAGGAGTGGGACCTCCCTCTGGTCCTGACCCCCCTGCAGCTGCCACTTGGGGGTGGCCAGGAAAGCTGTGGGTGCAGGACGCTCACTGGGCCCCCAAGGGGTGGGGTGGGGCCAGCTGGGGTCTCAGGACCTGATGGCCACAGGCAGAGGAGCGAGGGGCCCCGGGGCGGGGGGAAGGGCCCTCCTGGAGGTGCTCCAAGCATTCCCTGAGGGAGGCTGTGCAGTGGCCTGGCACCTGGAGAGAAGACGGACAGCCAAGGGCCTGGGGCGGCTCTGAGCTCAGGACGAAGGGCGGAGGGGCAGGCCTCTGGGAGCCGCACTGTCTGCCCACAGGGACTGCAGGGCTGGGACAACAGGGCTGGGGCCTGCGGGGCTGGGGGCTGCAGGGCTGGGGCTGTTTGGCTGGGGCTGCTGGGCTGGGGGCTGCGGGGCTGGGGGCAGTGGGGCTCCAGGGCTGGGGGCTGCAGGGCAGGGGCAGTGGGGCTGGGGGCTGCGGGCAGCAGGGCTGGGGCTGCTTGGCTGGGGGCTGCAGGGATGGGGCTGCAGGGATGGGGGCTGCAGGGATGGGGCAGCAGGCCTTGGCCGGGCCACCCTGAGAGGTCGAGAGGGGAGCCTGATGCTGCCCGCACCAGACCAGGACCTTCCCCTCCCAGGTGGGCCTGGGCACCCACAGAGGATCATTACTTGGGGGTGGAAACAGCGCTGGAGGCTGGCGTGCAGTTAGAGGGAGTGACCCCACTGTGTCTGTAGGGAGGGGAGTCCTCAGGCGGCCCCGCTGACACCCCCAGTGTTGACTGCCTTGTTGGGCTATGGGGCTGAGCCTGGGGTGCAGAGGGTCCTCTTCCCTGCCACCCCCCCCTCCCACAGCTGCAGCAGTGTCACCTGGCCCAGACCCCTGTCCAGCCCCAATGGCAGTCTCTGGGCAGTAGAGTCTGGGCCCCCCTCTGGGGGCTCCCCACTGGGCGGTGGTCCCTCGTGCTCTGTTCACTCCTACGAGCTGGCAGCCCCCTGGGTGCAGGGCTCTCCAGCAGGGTTTTTCCCTGAAGGTACCTGACCACGAAGAAAAGGGAGGCCAAGGGTGACCAGAGAGCTGTAGGGTGAGGCGTCTGCTCAGGACCACCCCTGCCTGACCTCTGACCCCACAGGCTCGTCCAGCCACCTCCCATGCTGGACCCCTGCAGGTCTGAGAACCCCGCGGGCTGCACCTTCCGCTCCCCACCGCTCCTGGGCCGCCCGGGGCCCTGGCCTCCTTCCTCTGACCAGGCTGGTGCCCTGGGTTTGACGGCTAACCAGGGGCCAGCGGGGGCTGCAGAGGGCGCTGAGCCAGGCCTGGAGAGCTCCCTGCCCCCAGCACTGTGGCCGCCTCTTGGCCCTCGAGCCATAGTAGATGAGTGGAGGGGCCGGGGTGCTCGAGAGGGCCGTCCTGCTGCCCCGTGCCCTTGGCCCAGGTGCGGGGAGGTCCCGCACACTTGGGTGCCCTGGGGCAGGGTCTGCTCTCAGTTGGCGGTTCCTGGATCCCCTTGACTCTCCCAGCCGTGCTCAGGAGCCCCGGGAGGTGGGGGCCCGTGTTCGTGCACACGCGTCCTTGTGCCTGAGCCTGGGGTGTGGTGGGGAGCTCGTGGGTGGGCCTGGGGTCCTCAGGACGCCCTTGAGGAGCCCCTCCCTGCAGCAGGGTCCAGACGGTGCAGCACCCTCAAGCACCCGCCGGGCGGGATTTGCCTCTGTTCCTCCCGCAATTATCTGTGATGCTCTGTACTTTCCTTCTCTTGACATGCGCCGTATTTGCTGCAAAGGCAATAATTAGAGGTGAAATCACAATTGCAAAATGAGCCAGAGCTGTTGGAGGGCGGGGTAATTAGGGCAGTCTTGGGCTTCCCTAGCAGGCCCTCCCGAGGGTGCACTCTGCTCCCTGCCTCCAGGGAAGTGGCAGAACTGCTTGGAACCCAAACATCCCACCCCAGAGGACCCCGGGGCTGCAGGAGACCAGCACAGCCAGGGCGGCCTGGAAGCTTCACCCAGGAGGGGCACCTCCATGCTGGGCTTTGAGGGGTGTGTAGGAGTCTGTGGGCAGAGGACTTTTCGGGGAAAGAGGCAGCAAGCGGAGGAAGGTGAAGGCAGGGAGATAGCCACCAGAGTTCTAGGACGCGGCCCAGGGCAGCCCCCTGCACCCCAGCCACGTGTCCTGGCCGGGGGCCCAGCCCGCAGGCCCGCTAGCAGCTGTGAGGGTTTGGCAGGCTCACGCCCTGGTGGCATGGGGCTCGTCCAGGGCACCTTGTCCACTGGGTCCTTTGTTCTCCTGGCCTTTCTGTTAACCAGCTGGTGATGGAGTTTCTCATCTGTGAAGTGAGGTCCCCGATGTCACATGGCCCCAACACTCTGTCAGCAGACGCTGCTGTGGTGGTCAGTGATGGGGGTGGCGGCAGCGGCCACTTAGTTTTCCACTTCCGGAGGGTCGCCTGCGTCCCTGTCCAGCTCTCTCTTGAGTTGAAGCTCACTTCCCTTTATTCCCCACGTGCCCGTGACCCCTGCCTCCCGAGGACACGCGTGTAGGGGTGTGTGTGCACGGGTGTGAGGCTCATCTGTGGGGCGTTTCTGGGCCATCTGTTCTGGGCATTAGGGACTTGGAGGGACTTGTGCCCCCGGGGAGCGGCCTGGCCGCCGTTGCCGCGGCTCCTCGAGGCCTGTGCACCTTGTCTGGGGGCCTCGCCAGGCAGAAGCCTGCTTCTCACTCAGGCCGTCTCCCCCTCCGTTTCTGCGACTGGGCCCAGACCTGCCTGGAGCCAGGGTGGAGGGGTCGGTGCCAGGCCCGGTTCCCGTCCTGGAGGCTGTGGAGAGCCGTCCTGGGCCACGGCTCTGAATTACAGATGCCGGTGGCGCTCTTCCTGCTGCCCCGGGGCCCGCTCTCTGTGCTCGGCTCCTGACCTGCAATCACAGGGCTCGGGCTCCGGATCAAAGGCAGCTGGGGAGAGCCCCCAGGAGCCCGCAGCCCTTCCCGGGTGGGAGCTGGGGCTCAGCGGGCCCCCCTGCAGGACCGCTGTCCTTCCCTGAGCCGAGGAGCTTCGGGCCCCCAGGCTCAGGGCTCAGGGGTTCCACCGGGCCTGGTCCCCCGCCCCTCGTCCAGCCCCGCCTGCTGCTGCTCCCGCGTCTGGGGGCCACAGGTCATCTCCCGGCCGCCAGCGGGCTCACTGCCCACGGGGAGCAGGAAGGAGGAGGACGCGACACTGCTGGGAGGGGGTGACTGCTTGTGGCCCCGAAGGCCTGATAAAGAGACGTGACCCTTAGGGGAACGTGTTTTCGATGCACATGGCAAAGGATTCATTTCCCATACAAAGCAAAGGGCTTTGCAACTTGGTAAGAGCCACCCCTCAGCAGCATAAGAAGGGGCAAGTGCAAACCCGAGTGGTTGGAACCGTGAGACTGTGTCAAGGTCGTAACTAAAGCAGCAGCAGCACAGTCGGCAAAGTGTGAATGAAACCGAGGGGCGTCCAGCGCTCCACATCCCTCAAAACCCAGCACAGGTCGTGGACAGGCTGCAGTGCCGTGGGGAGCAGGTCGTCCTACGCTGCATCCAGGCGCCCGAATGCCAGAGGCAGCCCGAACTACGGTGGTCACCTCCGTGCCCATCGGGGAACACAGGCCACCTCGGGGAACGTCCAGGTCGGGCCCAGGCTTGGGAGGGGAGAGTGCAGGGCGTCTCGGTCTGAGGCCACAGAGGGTCCAGCGGAGGGCAGGAGGCCAGGGGGCAGTGACCAGAACCGCGGCTCCCTGCAGCGTGGTGACAGCAGAGGTGAATCGGTGGAGTGTCCTGTCCCGTGGGAGATGCAGGGAGGCAGGTTGCGGGGCTGCAGCTGCCGGGGGAGGGGCCTTGGGCCTGTGCTGGTGTCCTGGGGAGAGCAGGGAGCTGGACACAGCTGTTGGGGGCACCTTGTCCAGGGGTCCGAAGGCCAAGAGGAGGGTGATGGGTGGGGGAGGGGCCTGTGGGACCTGAGGACACCCTGGCTCCCCTGCCGAGGGGCCGAGCTCCGGCTAAGGTCTGGGGGAGGGACTCCAGGTGTCGCCGGCTGGGGAGTGAGGCCCAAGCTGGAGGGGCAGGGGGCCAGTATGTGGCGTGGGGCAGAGTGACCACCCTGGGGACAGCCTCTGGCCAGCGACCAGGGAGCGTGGGAGGGCAGACGTTGGCCTGGGGTTGGCCCAAGACAGGCTGGGGGGCAGGGGCACAGGATCCCGGCGCTGAGTGAGAAGCTGGCCTTGGGTGCGGGAGGGGCCCTGCTGGTCAGGCCTGGGCAGTGGCCGGACGGGGTCTGAGGGCTTCCCTCGCCCCCAGGCCTCGTGAAGCTGGGGATTCACTGTGTCACGTGCCAGAAGGTGGCTGTCAAGATCGTCAACCGCGAGAAGCTCAGCGAGTCTGTACTGATGAAGGTGAGCGTGGGGGCAGCCGGGGGAGGTGGGGAGGCCCAGTGGGCGGGGTGGAGCCAGGCTGCGGGCGAGCCCGCCTGGGAAGGGGGTCCCTGCTGGGTCCTGCTGCCCCATCTGTCGAGAGGGCCGGCTGGCCTCAGTTTCCCGTCGGAATCAGGAGGAGACCCCTGTCTCTGAGGGAAAAGAGGAAGTGTGGGGTCCCAGGAGGCCTCGCAGCCCCTCCTCCTCCCCGCTCCCCCCACCTCAGCACCCCCCCCAGCCCTGGTGGAGTCCGGTCCCCTTAGGGACTGAAGCAGACCCCACGTGACTGGGGGACTCCTGGGTGGGACCAGACGCTCAGCGGGGAGGGGCTGCCCGGGCTCTGTTCCCCGTCTGTCTGCTCATCTGTCCGAACGGCTGTCCACTCAGCGGGCAGGGGTGAGGGGCAGACGGGGGGCAGCCTGGCCCTCCAGGCACACGGGGGCAGGAAAGCAGGTGGGCCGTGGGGGGTGCCGGCCAGTGACACAGTGAGGACCCCTCTGGCCGGTGGGGGCAGGGGGGACCGGGTGGGCCCAGCTGGGGAACCCTGGGGGATGCGCCACGGGCTGGTTTTAAGGGGAGGTGGCGGTCGTTTGGATGGGGTGTGGGCGGTGCTGGTGGCGGCTTGGCAGACTCCCATCCTGCCTTGGCCAGCGCCCGACTTGGGGGCGGGGTCTCACATGTCAGTTTGGGGCGCTAAGGTCAAGATGCCACAGGATATGAGTGGGGAGACAGGAGCTATCTCAGTGGCAGTGGACCCAGGGGTGTAACCGGGCCCCCCGCCCCGACCCCGGAGGCCTGGCAGGGACCGAGCGCAGCTGGGGGAGGGCAGGGAGGCGGCCCACGGGGTAGAGATGCCAGTGCGAGGCTGGACCTGCCCCAGGAGCCCAGCATCCCGGGGGCTCTGTGACCCCACAGCCTGGACGGGCGGGTGGGCGGCGCACGGGTCGGGGGATGAGCCCGGCCTGCCGTGACGGCGCCCCCTCCCCCGCAGGTGGAGCGGGAGATCGCCATCCTGAAGCTGATCGAGCACCCCCATGTCCTCAAGCTGCATGACGTCTATGAAAACAAAAAATATTTGTAGGTATTGCTGGGTCTGGAGAGCTGGGGGGCAGGGGGGGGCCGTCCCAGGAGGGGGTCGGAAGGACAGGCCATGGCGGTCACTGCTCCTTGACCAGGTCCAGGGCTGGCCAGCGGGGACTTGCAGAGCCACTGGCTTGAGGATGGGGCCTTCGT